ATCCCGAAGGGAGCGAATGGCACAGATGAGCGCCGTAAACAAACGAGGATCGCCAGGTTATCTGCACGCGGATGTTTACCCCGTCGGACGTATCCACCATTCCACCGTTCAGAGTTCAAAAATCGTCGCGCGACGATAATGGAAAAATCGGCGATACGACCGTCGATCGTCGAATTCCGACTAGAGAGCGCGGGCTCCTAACTATTGTCATCGCCGCACGGCGAAAATAAGGGGGGAAAACTTCTCTCGACTGACGCTGCTCGTGTGTTTCCTTTCCCACTGTCGCGCCTTCCCCGTGTATCCCGATGAAAGGGAAATTGCAGCCGTTATCGACGATATCGAGTGATGAATGCCCGAGCGACAAAAACACTTGTTTCGCGCGATCTGAATTACAAGAACTGAGTAAAGGTCCGTCCGTATCACTTATCAAATCGCTCGGACCGTAATCGTAGAGCTTGCGAGCGAAGCTTGAAGTGAAGTGGCGGCGTCGCCTAGCGCAGTTCAAACACGCAAAGCCACAAACACGAAGCGAATGCGGGACTGCACTCAACTGCATCACTGCACTGTTCCAGGTCCGTATTTAACGGGGCTGCTAACCCCGCCAAACCAACGGCGTCGTCTCTCCCACCATTGCTACCCTCTCCACAGTGAGTACGACCCCCGTCTTACTCCACGGCTAGCATTCCTATTATAGGTTATTATAGGTCAACAGGAGTAACGGTCCAAGTTCGAACTGATTTTGATGACCTCATGCGGGAAAATTGGGAAACTCCAGACAAGGATTCTGTGATCCTTATCTATCTTGCAATTCTGCTGACCGAGATACGAATACAAACTGAAAATGCGTTTAGACATCTTGTGGCAGGAAATAGTGACGTAGTAAGGCTAACGAGCGCCCGCGCTCATCATGCATTTCACATTTGCATATATGTGCATGTATGTACATAAATTGTTGATAAAAAATTACGTACATATTAAAACAACTTATATTGATTAATAATAATAATTAAATAGTAATGTACAGAATAATAGAATTTATTATCAATAAGATATAGATATCTGATATACTTGTCAACTCATTGTTTTTTTACTTATCCCATCACATGGAAAATAACTGAAGCATAACACGGATTAAAAGGGATTTTTTGCTGAAATTTTAGAAGAAATAGATAAGGAAATAAAATAAATATATATTTATAAAAAAAACATACATAGAAAAAAATGCAACTTGACTTTGTTTTTGAGAAAAAACTGAGAAAGAGTACTTTTTATACAGTTGCATAAACGCATCACATACTATATAAAAAGACAAGAATTTTATATATAATTCTTCAAAATTAAATTTATATTTATATAAAATTTTATTGTCAAACTCCTTACGTTTACGAAGCATTTGTGTGATTTAGAGTATCATAAAAAATATGTTTTTAATCGCATAAATTTAATAACTATTTTCTAAAAAAATAAAATCAAGTTGCATATAAAGTAATGTATGTAATAAATGAAATATAGAATCGACATGATATGAGTGCTAGATGCATTTATAATGTAGTTTTTTTTTTTTACTAGCTAAATACATTTCTTATTACTTGTAGCTTTTTTTACTTACTCTTTTACATGAAGAACAACTAGAACTTTAAAACATAACATAAGATTTGGAATACATTTTTGCTGAAATTTTCGGAGAAATAGATAAAAAACTAAAAGAAATATATATAAACATGAACATACACACGCAATAATGCAATTTTAACTTTATAGTTCAGAAAATAGTTATAAAATCTATGTGATTTATTTTAAAATGCATATAACTTTTTATCAATAATTTATGTGCATATATGTACATAAATGCATACGCAAATATAAAATATATGATAAGCGAGCGCTCGCTAGCCTTAACCTTTCTATTTCGAGACGTAATAGCTCTAATAACTTTTTTAGCTCGAATCTCGAGAGTAATTATAGAAGAGACAAGGATCGCGAGAGTGTTGGTCCTTGTCTAACCTATCTTTCATTTGCATTGTATATGCAATGTTTTGATGCATCTAAATTTTTTCACGTCATACATACATTACACACGTAGCAGAGAGACAAAGACAGCGCGAATGTCTCTCCTTATCAAACAGCCGTACAAATAATGCAGATTTAACGATTTTATAGTTTCAAAACTTTAAGATGAAGAAGCAATATTTTCTCATGATTTTTTTTATAATATATTGCTTGTATAATTACATAAAAAACCCGATTTTGTAATTTATCGTCAAAAATTTACAAATAATAAATGTAACCGTTATTACAAAAAAAATTTTTTTTTGAGCTTTATTTCCAAAATAGGATTTTTTACAAAGGTCAATATATTTCTTCTGCATAGGAATATCATAATTATAATGCGTTTCTCTCGTGATTATGTCCGAAATACTGGAATAATAATTCCGTGTTTTATTTCTATTCCGACAGAGGCGTTAGTTTCACTCCTGTTGACCTTTATGCGACGGAGAACCAATGCTGCATCATGTTACAAGTAAATTGCAATATGTGCATTTACATAAAAAGTTTAATATTTATAAAAATTGCTAAAAGGATAAAAAAGAAATGACAAATAAGCTGTAATTCTTTACTCTTGCTACTATTATATTTATAACCGTTTTTATACTTATATATATACAAAGTTGTTTAAACAAAAACATTTATTCGTAAAATATTAACGTAAAAACTTTAATACTTATAAAAACTACTAAAAGAAAAAAAGAAATGACAAATGAGCTGTAATTCTTTACTCTTGCTACTATTGTATAAATATAAAACTTTTTACATTTACTTTTTACATTTATTTAGTTGTCTTAAACAAAAACTTTCTTTGTAAAATATTGACGTCTATAAAAGAGAGTGACGTTTATCATCTGTTATGCGGTTTTATATTTTATAAATTTCATAGGCATAATGATATTTAAAAATAATCATTAAATGACATAGAATTATAATGATAGATGAATGATGATGAAAAGAGAAAAAGAATAATATTATTTAGATTCTTTTATTTACATTAAAAAAAAACACTGCAGGCAGAGAATATTTAGAAATTGTTTTTCGCTGAATTATATTCCGTAGATAAAAGTATTATAAATACATACAAGATAACGGCTTGTACGATAAACCATCGAATTAATATAACGCTCATTAATATATTATAATAATAGATCCTATCGAGTTATCGCGGTTATTTAATGTCTCAATGTAGACTAAGTTTAAGAATAAGTTTTTATATAAAATATAATAAATTTTCGCACCAACAACGCTCGTTAAGGTTTAGTATTATATTAGTTCGATAAAAATATTATATTCCTTTTTTATTGCATTTTTTATTTTATTATATAACACATAATACAAAATGCATCTAATAAGTGTACTGAAACGACACATTTTAGACGGTACAGATTAGATAAGACGTCCGTAATCATGTGTATTATTATACGTAGTGAACTTTGCTTTGATATACTTTATAAGATATCTTCAACATTTCTAAAGTTTAGTCTCGGCAAAATATCTTTAAAAGCTTGCAAAAAAATCTTTTTAATTAAGTCAATCTTTTAAAAAATCTTTTGTCCCACGTTTATTGCGTATATTTCAAAAGATATTCAAAATTACGAAAGCGGTATACGATTTTTCTGCGTTCCAAAACGCATAAAAAGAAAGTATTATAACCTTTCTGGCGGACAAATATATTCTTTTAATCCAAAAAATAACTTAGTATTAATTAGTTCTAAAGGTAAAAGATAACATTATCTTTATAATTTATTTAGTACAATCTATAATATTGATGAACACAAATACATTTTTATTACTATATCTATTTTTATTACGTACTTAAGAAACTAGCATCAAAGTTTTTATTATTCTAACCAAAAATATGACGTTTTTTTTCGTCGTGTGATTTATAAATCAATTACAGTACTGTGTTCAATGATCGTGTCGCTAAAGTAATACAACGTAAACAAGCAAAATACGATGCATTTGTGTTCGACACAAGCGGCGCACGCGTTTATTATGGCGATTACATGCTTTTAGGACGAACAGCTGATTCGGGAAATGTTTTCGCGCGTGATTCACGTAACGTATGATTCCTGAGAACATAAAGGATCAAATTCGTCGGTGAGAAAATCCTATAAGTATCTCGCTTTTGTTAATACAAGCGTTTGCTTCGAAAAGATGCGTATTGACGTGTCCTAATGACGTAATTGGTCGAAGAGGCGAGACAGTGCTCACGAATGCTCCACGTACGTGTCAAGAGCGAATTGCGTGCTTTGTATACCGCGTGCCTGAGGGCGATGAGCACGTTAAGGTCACCGGTGTTGAGTCTGTAATGAAGCCCCTCGTTTAAATTTTCGTCGAGCAATGAAGTCCAACGAAGTCGTTGTGTTTCTGCTGTTCCTGTCGTTGTTTACTCTGTGCACCGCGGCATTGGAAAATACGAAAAAGCGCGGTGATATTACGCAAAAGTCAAATTCTAATGAGGAAACCGAAGAAGAGGTTGCCGTGGAGGATATGGAGAACGCTTTCGAACAGCTGCGCGAACTGAGTGCTCTGCGTGATACGATATTGAAGTTAGTACCAGCAACCGATCCGATTTATGATAAAATTAGCAAGCAAGTAAATCAGAAAGACGATGCGGAGAGAAAAACAGAGGCTACCGGCAAGGAAAATCTTTTGGAAAATCCAGGCACGAGAAATGTATGGATGAAGACTATGATAGCTCAAACAAAGGACATAGATCCCTCGACTATAAATGCAAGGCAATTGGAGGATGAGGATATAGAATCATGGGAAGAGCTGTATGACATATTGGACGATGAAGTTCAAGAGCCATTGTCACCAGAACAACAGACAGGTAAGTCAGAAGTTAAGTATAGTTCACTGTTATCAAGAGTGATACTTTGCTCTTCACATTACTTTTTGATAATGTTCATTCATTGCTACAAAATAACAATATTTTTTTTTTAGCCGAGCAGTTGTTTAAGAATGCACAAAGTATCTTAAATGCAATGCGTGCTAACAAATCCGAGGGTTATGAAATTCTCATCGAAGCAGCAAAGTTGGGTCATCGAGAAGCCAGATCTATATTGGCATGGGCGAGGTTACTCGGATCTCGCTTGGGTCCTGCTTCTCTACGAGTGTCTACTGACGATATACCTAGTATATTTGAGATATTCAAGGAGCTTGCAGATACCGGACTCCCGTCCGCTCATTTGGTATACATGCGATACGATAACCAACAACGCTAAACTTTTGGAAGTTTGGAATAAAAGATTGTTTTAATACACAGGGATTGGGATTTTTATACGCAACTGGTATTGGTGGCGTCAATGCATCTCAAGGAAAAGCTTTACTTCATTATACTGTAGCTGCCCTTGGTGGAGACACTCGAGCTCAAATGGTTATGGGATATCGTCACTGGGCAGGTGTAACGACACCGGCCTCTTGCGAGAAAGCTTTAGATTTTTATCGAAAAGTGGCGAAAAAGGTCGCGGAGGAAGTGTCACTGAGCGGTGGCCCCGTAGTTCAACGAGTTCGACTATTGGACGAGCATGAAAATCCGGGATACAGTTCCGGAGTTTTTGACCAAGATTTAATAGAATATTATCAATTATTAGCCAAAAAAGGCGACACTCAAGCGCAGGTCGGCCTAGGTCAGCTTCATTATCAAGGAGGTAGAGGAGTTCCTTTGGACCACGAAAGAGCTGTACAGTATTTTCAACACGCCGCGGATGCTGGTAATCCAGTTGCAATGGCTTTTCTTGGAAAGGTACGGATTCATTGAAACAATACTGCTCAAATACATGCCAATATTGCTTCCTAAAATGATATTTTTGATCATATTGATTCTATGGAAAATTAATCAAATGTGTAACATGTATATATTAATCATACAATGTTTATTTGTTCTTCTAATTTATATGGATTTGTAGATTTATTTGGAAGGAAGTGAAATTGTCAAGCAGGATAACGAGACAGCGTACAAATATTTCAAAAAAGCTGCCGAATTAGGGAATCCAGTAGGCCAAAGTGGATTGGGTTTGATGTACTTATATGGAATGGGAGTGGAAAGGAATACTGCCAAAGCATTGCAATACTTCAGTCAAGCTGCGGAGCAAGGTTGGGTCGACGGACAGCTACAATTAGGAAATATGTATTTCAGTAAGTATTAGAATAATAAATACTTACATTCGTGTAACTATTCTGTTTGCACTAATTCACTTCAATCGTTCACCGCTTTATTTTTTAGGCGGTACAGGCGTCAGGCGTGATTATAAAATGGCAAATAAATATTTCAACTTGGCCAGTCAATCTGGACATGTACTGGCTTACTATAATCTCGCCCAGATGCATGCCACTGGTACTGGAATGATGAGAAGTTGTCCAACAGCTGTGGAATTAATGAAGAACGTTGCCGAAAGGGGGAAATGGAGTGATCAATTGATGGTAGCGCATACCGATTACAAAGAGGGCAGAGTGAACGAAGCGTTCTTGAACTATGCTCTTTTCTCCGAAATGGGTTACGAGGTTGCGCAGAGTAACGCGGCATTTATTTTGGATAAAGGAGAGACCGACGTTCTACTGGAAGAAGAAGGCTTGGTTAGAGCGTTGGCGCTATGGGCGCGAGCTGCCGCACAAGGATACTCCGCAGCGCAGGTACAAATATTTTACTGACGAAGAACAAGACTTTTGTACGCATATTACATCGAAATGGGGTCTTTGTTTCAGGTGAAACTTGGCGATGCACATTATTACGGTAGAGGAACGAAAGTCGATTACGAGGCGGCCGCGGGCCACTATCGTTCGGCATCCGAGCAACAACACAACGCTCAAGCTATGTTCAATTTAGGATATATGCACGAGCGTGGTCTAGGTTTAGCGAAAGATCGCCATTTGGCGAAGCGATGCTACGATTTAGCCGCGGATGCTAGTCCCGACGCAAGAATACCTGTAGCTCTAGCTTTGATCAAGCTTTCCTTCCTCTTCGGCCTTGATTATCTACAAGAATTTAGTTTGGTCGATCAGTTAGATAAATGGGATCAGCTGCTTGGACAAAATTGGGATCTATATCTTATCGGATTTCTCACAGGAATGCTTAGTCTTATTATCTACTTCCGCAGACCGCAGCCACCTCCCCCACCGAGAATTGTTGCTAACTAAATTTTCTACTCTTTCATTCATTATCTTATATATATATATATACATATATATACATATAAGTATACATAAATATTTCTAGGCTAAGCTTGGAAACAAATTTTATAAGGGATTCATATTGGGAAATCATTTTTATAATGTAATTCGTCCTTCCGATATGGAGCAAGCTAAAGAACTTTGACTTCGATATTTATTTGATAATTTTAGTGTATCGTAATAATTTATATCGATTCTAGATTACTAATTCAAAATTTGTTTAGAGGATCTACAACACTAACATTTGACGTAAATGAGCAATTTTTGTTTCCTACAATAAATAAGTACTCCTACAATCTTCTCATACGCTTAATTACTCTGTGCAAACTCTGAGCTTAGTTCCTAGTTTATAAAGTTCCATTACTACGCTCAATGTATGTCATGTGAGTAGGGATATTGTCTATAAATGAACAGATTGTTGTAAACAATGTTAGGTTCCCCTTTCTACGAGAAATGATGAAAAAAAAAAACGATATTAAATCCAATCAAAGTTCACGATTCCATATCATATTATTTTCATAGAAATATAATGTTGAGAGCTATCTTTGCAGCGGTATTATTTCGTGTTGTTTTTGTACAATTAAATCAAATTTATAACTTTTCTCGGCAACACACGTTTATAATTACCTTAGATTACACATTATACATATTAAGACATTAAAAAAAAAAAGAAAGAAATTGCTGTAATATAAAATATGAATTAAAAGGTTGTTGATTATTTATCTAATAAGATTGTTTTATTACCAAAGAATATTACGATCTTGATATGCATGGATATATGGATTAATGATTGTGTAAACGATTGTAATAAATTGTATAGATAGATCGGTCAGTATGTATATCAAAATTGGATGAGATGAAAATATTACATGCGTGTAAGACTTAGTGATAGCGTATATGTTAAGTACAATATTTCTTAGTATATATTCTTATTCTTAATGTATTCTTAATGATTCTATTGCATTATATACAGGACATACCAGAACTTGTAATATTACGAATAAAAGTTACGATATTTTTCACGAATGGACAAAAGCAGGATAACAAACTTGTCCCATTTGCTGAGCTATGCATTAAAGACATAAGTTAATTAATTATTATACTGAAAATAGAGTATCGGTTTGGAATAGCCTGTATATAAATGTTTATTATTTACCATTTGTTATATTTCTTCGTTACATTCTCTTTCTTTCTTTTATGTAATAATTTCTTGTTATACTGTATAAGAATTGTATTATTTTAATTGAGATTATGTGAATTATTGTGTTGACATTTATTCGTTATATACACCTCATTCTCGTGTACTTGTATACGCGTCAATAGAACATATTCGACTTGTTATCTTTACTATGGCAACAGGAATGCGCGTGGACATGTAGCAAATCAGAGGTATCGCATTGATGTTTAGTCTCATGGAAATAATGCAGCAGTTTTGATCGATTTTAGAAGCTTCTCTGATCCAATCTTTAAATTTCGTCTAAACAATGTTTTTCATATAAATAATTTAAAGTCTCTCGTAATAAAGAAGGATGGTAAGCATATGCTCCATATAATAACGTGTATTAGCGAGTACTAACATAAAAAAATGCCTAAAAAGAAAAAACGTGGTGGTGAGAAAGAGAAGAAGGTACGGAAAAAGTGTTTGAATGAACGAGAAACGGTGTCCTATGAACAGCAAATTCTAGACAACAATCTGCAACTGTCACGGTTTGTTTGTTGAGATCAAGAATGACATTTCACACCTTAGTTTAATTATGTGCGTTTAATCATGTTTCTCGTGATATTGTTTGAAGGCTACGCAGTCGAAATGAGGAACTTGAATGCGAGGGTGAAAACTGTAACAAAGAAATTCGAGCAATTGAAAGAGGATCAATCTGATGTCGTGGCACACTTGAAACGAAATTTGGAAGGGAAGATAGAAGAGGCTCGAGAGCTGAGCGAACGCTTACTGGCTTTAGAGGAATTGAGAAAACAGGAACAGTCTGAATACAAAAAGAAAGAAAACGCAATGGAGCTCGAATATCGTACTATGGAAAGTAATTTGAGCGCGGAAGTAAAACTCGCAGGTGAATATATCGTAACACAAATGCATAGAGAGACAACAATTAAACGAAACGTTGTTATTTTGCGTCAGCTGGCAAGTTGAACGCGTTAGAAGACTGGCGACTAGCTCGTTTGGATTTAATGCACAAATTCGAGGTACAGGAAGAACAAATTGGGAAGCAACAGGAATTGCACAAAACGACACTCTACGAAACAGAGAAATCAGTTATTATTGCAAAGGCTAAGTAAATAATTTGTCAGTAAAACATCTGCCATTGCGCAAACATAGGAAGGTTTGAAGAACAATTACATACTACGCAGAACATTCTGGAAGTCACGTAGATTAAGATTTACATGTTTCAAAGATAATGCTTTTAAATCGACGACAATTAATTTTCAATTAATCTTATTCTTCGGAAACTGCTTTCATTTAAAGTTCGGAAGTACACGATTTCTTTGTACATTTTTAATTTCATCATTTGCAGAATGAGAAAGGAAATGGAAGAACGGTTGAAACAGCTTGCTCAGGATTTTAAGGAAGCGACAAATATTCGCATTGCGGACGTAACGCACAATACAATCAGGAGAAATATCGCGCTAAATCACGAGCTGAACTCGATGCTGAAAGTCTGTCAGGATTTGGAGATGAAGAGTACGGAATGCAAAGATAACGATCGCATGCTCAGATTGCAGTGCGAATTATTTGAGGCCGAAGCGAAGATCGCGCTGGACAATATGATAAAGCAGAGGCATGCGATGCACGAGCTCGCGCAGGGGCACATAGATTTGGCCCTCGAGTACGGGCGAACACAACGAGAGAACGCAAGACTCAACAATTATGAACAACTGATAGACGAATACAAGGCGAGGTGTGTGACGTCGGAGGAGAAGGCGAAGATGCTCGAAGAACGCATGGAGGAAGCCAAGAAAGCCAAAGAAAATGTTCTGATTGAAGTGCGAAATAAATGCAAGAAATATAACAAATTGAATAACATTCTGAACGAAGCTAAGCGATGCGTTTGGGAAGCATTAGAGGTATCTTATCGTTTTTTTTCTGCGCAAAGTACTAGATATAATATAGCTATTTTCAGTTACAAGAGCATGTCTGTACGAGCGACGTTTGCACTTCGTGTTGCGCCGATCAGAAGCAGAAAATTATTTACTCGCTGCAAAATATACTGGAAAAGTACGATATTTCCGATATAATCACAGATGAAGCTTTGCAGGTGAATTGTAATAGAATATTATGATGGTGAAAGCGTAGAATAATATTTAATAAGTAATAATGTTCATTATTCTTTTTTCAGATGGTTAATATTGAATTTTAAATTTAATGCTGCACAGAATTTTTATTGCATCCAGAAAAGTAAACTGGCACAAAATATTCTCAGTATGCAAATAGCTCATTTTTAATCGATCGTGCGATTTAGTTATTCACACGCAACATTGCTTTAAAAATGCAAAATTTACGGAAATTTACACGCGCGGCTTGCAATATGCACGTAAATTGAACATATGATCGTAAGAGTACAGCACGCGTATGCGCAGAGCGAAGAACACGTGTTGTGTTTATTTGTTCCACCGAAAAAAAAATCAAAATTTTATTGAAAATCGTTCGACAGATCCCAGCCAACTCATCCACATGGTTAATTAATTGTATTTTGCCGTTAGCAATTGTATTTTGCTAGCAATTCTCGAAAGAGTTGGAAAATGCGTTCTTTATCGACGTGGCAATTACAGCCATTATTTACAGAACGAGGTTACGCTCGATGGATACACGTTAGCTGTATTAGCATAACACGGTCGGACTTGAAATCATTGTGGGAAAGTACATAAATATCTATAAAGCACTGACATTGAGGAGATTGTACGTCATACGCGGCCTGCGATCCGACGCGATCGCTTTTCCAGAATCTCGCACGACGAGCGGTTGGATTTATCATCACTGTACGCGTTTGATAAAATGTGATACGCGATTCTCTGAAAATTTGCACATCATGGAAATCGGAAGGAAAGAAGAAAATATCACTAGAAGATTGGACGAGGCAGGTGCGGTTTTGAACAATGATCTAGAGTTCTGGATGACTCGGTTTCCGGCGCCACTCAAGAATACGCCCATTATTCACTTGGCAATACCCGGTATGTTTGAATCTATCCGTTTGATATATATACAATTAATTAGTCCCGGAAGTGATTTTTCATGCTGCTTAGTTTACATCTACTTGTGAACGATAACATATATTACGATTATTGTCATAATGAGAATGATTGAAGTCTTTCAATTTAAATTTACCTACAAGTTTTGCTCAAAGTTCTTGTATTTGTTGTTTTCAGAAATTTATGAAAAGGCTGAACCTCTTTTAAGTTTACTTTAAGACTTTATAGATTAAAGTTGTTAATTATTTACATTTCAAAAACTTCATCTCAAGTTACAAATTTCATGTTTTTTATTATAATTTTACCAGATTTTTTTTATATTTATAAATATTTTCTTACAAAGATCTATTCTTACTAACAAAGAAATAAATGTGAAAGCTGAATCTTAATAATTGCTTAATAATGTATTTCAATTTAGCGTGTAATTTTTCTTAACCGAAACAAAGGCTCATACGGATGCAGCAAGTGTCTACCGCGAGCACGAACAATTATGACTCTTGTATAATTTCCGACAGGTTCCCACGATACCATGACTTACACGATTGAACCGCGCAACGACGTGGGGCCGGACGAGCCCGCCTTCATCCGAAGACTCGGCCGTTACTGCTCATTCGTGGCTAAGCCCATTATTCTAAATTGGTCTATTACACAACGCGATGATGTTAAACAACAGCTGAACGGCGGAATTCGATATTTAGATCTGCGCGTCGCCACAAAGCCGAGGACCAAGGACATATACTTCCTTCACGGTTTGTACGGCTCGGAAATTACCAGGCCACTCCTGGACGTCGCCGATTGGCTGACTTCGCACGCGAATGAAGTCATCATCCTGGACTTCCAACACTTCTACGCCTTCACGGACGAGGATCATCGTCGTCTCGTGGAGAGGATAAATCGGACCTTCCACGGGAAGATGTGCCCGGTCTCTTCCAGATTCGAACAAATAACACTGAACTGGCTGGCCACGAACAGGCACCAGGTGTTCGTGATATACAGGAACGTTTACGCGCGCAATTTCTCGAATCTGTGGCCGTCTGGCCTCTGGCGTACCGTTTGGCCCAACACCGTCGACGTGCACGAACTGATCGACTTCTTGAATATCGAGCTGCAGAGTAGACCGTTGGACATCGGGTTCGTGTCGCAATGCCTCCTGACGCCGGACACGTCCTATGTTTTAAAGCACTTGTGCGGCACCCTGCAAAGAGACTTGGTACCCCTTTGCCGAAAGCCGATTCTCACGTGGATAAATGACAAGCGGCCTGGCCGCGGCGGGCTGAATATAGTTATAGCGGACTTCGTGTCGGACAACAACTTTCTGTTCTCCAAAACGGTGATTCAGAGTAATGCAAGATTCCTGCATAGTTCAGAAATTTACTAGATTAATTTCGCGTTTGCTTAACAGCGAATTCGATTGGGTGCATTAATGTACCCGGTTCGGATTAAAGCCTGGTGGGACACGTTTTCATCTACCTAAAAACATAAAGTATTTGAAATGTCTGATATGTATTCTATTAAACACATCGTGAAATAATAAATTACACCGGATTCAATCTACTTATATACTATACTTTATGTACTTATATGGTATGCATTATATTTTTACACACATTTGTATACCATATCTTTGATACGCACATTAGTATATCTAACCGAATTCGCTATAAGGTCACAAATGTGCAATGTTAGCTTTACTATCGCATTGCTTAAGGCATTTTTATATTCTACTCATCAGTTGTCATCCATAAAATATGTAAATAAACTTGAGATATTTTAAATTTGTATTGAACTTTTGTGTGTGTGTGTGTAAGCAATTATATATCTTTGGCATGCTGTTCGGAAAACAGATGTTTAATTATTATCATTATACAATAATGTATTCTCAATGTACACCCTAGAATAAGACTTTGATTTTTATAAACGCAATTCCATTTTATGACAAATATAATATAAAAAGAACTAAATATTTGAATAATTGTACAATTACATTTTTCGGATAATATAATTATTAATTTGATAACATATTTGTGGAAGAAATGAGAAAAAAAGCTTCTTGAATCTCTTTTGAATATGCTACTTCATACTGTTAATTTTAGAATTTAAAGGAATTATTCAATCAATTTGTTCATATGTAGCGCTGTAAAGAAAAGAGGTGTAAGTAGTATCATTTCGTATATATAGCACAGGCTAAATTTTATTGATTTTTGTTTCAACAGGTAATATCATCTCTATGATATTTAAGTATATAAGCTGGCAGTAAGGCAAATAAAGTATGCGTCACACAACAAACTTACAATTTGCAGGATATTCTTTTTCACAGTCGTTTGTACTTTCTTTAATAAGTTCGATACTTCGTGTGAAAACGCTGAGTGAATTGATAAGTATAAGTTAGCGTATTTTTTTCGTAGATAATTTGGACGAAGTATATTTATCAATATAATCATGAATTTTTCTTTGGAATACTTCAGAAATAGTAAACTCACGGTACTCTAGAATCCCGCCCGCTTCATCGAAACTCTGATTTCGCTTTAACGAAATCATAAAGCTTTCACTTTGAGTTGCTTCATTTTAGGACCACGTTTTTTCGCCAATCTCCGTTGTTCCTTCTCCTCCCACTTCCGTTGTTTGTCCGGATCTTCCTCTTGGAGAATTCTTTCTTTCTCGGCTCGTCGACGCTCCTCTCGCCTCTGCGCCGCAGCTTCGGCTCTTGCAGCGTGCGTCGTCTTCAGGAAGGCTTCCTCCACTCTCAGTCGATTTTTATCCGCTTTACTTTTACCCTATGTACAATAAAATTTATTAATTATGATATTTTTAGAATATAACTTCTACTAAAAGTAAAGAAATACAAACTTCTTTGGACAACTTAAAACGTCGCAGTTTATCGACTAGATAAAAAGTAAGTTGAAGTAAGAGTTTCAGTTTTTCTTGCGTCTCTGCGTTACATGTGCGGCCTTTAAGACTTATATTCAGGCCCACTAATAATACTCTTTTCACTTCAGGCATTGTTAACTGAGTAGTGTCTCTGGAATGAAACTAAATGTTAAATTATGTATTTAACATCAAAGATAATTAAAATAACATGTATATTTGATTATTTTTGTCTACTTAAATTATTACAGCATATTGTATAGTTGGTCATTTATTTTTACTTACTCTTGCTGTTTGCGTCCACTGAATTGATCACTAATATGAATATAATCTATATAAGATGCAAACTTAGAGAAGGCTTGCAGAACTCTGGTGTCCAAGATAGCTGATGCAGCTTCTGCAATCTCAGACATTACGTAAAAACCCGATGGAAGACCAAACTTTTCCCCAGGTCGTTTCTCTGGACAATATACATTGACGTCAGCCATATCGCGCACCAAGTGCATCGCTGTTCGCTTTGTAGCAACTGCTAAAACGAAATTATCTATTTCATCCTTCGTGAGCTCCACATGTATGTGAGCTTGATCGTTTTGTGGACGCACTAACTGAGCTAATACGGCGACTAAGTCTTGCCTCTTTATTAATTTCAATTCAATGAGCATTGAGTCACAACCGACACGTCCAGAACAGTACAAGCTGTACTGTGATTCGCTCTCTTTCATTAAACCACTGTCATTTGCATTATCACACGATTTGTTCGAATGACCAACAAGAGAAAAATTGTCCAGCAAAAGTTGTCTGTGATCCGTTAACCATTGCTCAGCTATACGAGCATTTTTGGAACGTCCCACTATATAATTTATAAAGTATACTATTAATCCAGTGACCATTAGTATCTCTAAATAAAAGCTGTCCCATCTGTCTCTTAAATGTAACGGAACTTTTGTAATAGTTAATGTGGAAGGTTCATCAGGTTTTGAACCAGCATTGCCTCCTGCAACATCTAATCCTTCAAATTCCTCTTCATCTTGGAAATGATCAAATTCACTGTCCGCATCTACAACCAAGACATCATCCTCCTCAAAATCCTGATTCAAATTTTCTTCCTCCGGCAAATCTGGTACATGTTCAACATGTACAATTGGCTTTTCCTCCTCAAAGTCTTCAAATTCTGCAAATTCATTGTCTTCCGGTATTTCTTCATGAAAATTTGCTGTAACCCATAGGTTAGTGGCAACTAATACGATGTGTGCTATCACAAACCACAATTTCATGTTATCTGAAAATCAAACAATAACAAATATATAACGTTAAATTTTATTTCATTTATTTAATCATTTTAATCTCAACTTACACAATTTTATTTAGGCAATTTATACAATTTCTGAGAGAAAATTTTGTCTTAAAAATTTGTTATTTAATTAAATATTATATTATTATATACAATACTATGTTATTAATGTACAATAAGAAATGTTTCTTCAACTGTATTTTGTATTAGTCTGAAATATATGAAAGTGGAGCAATGAGTAGCTAAATTCTATATGATTAACCTATTACATATCGTAGAATTGGTACTCGCAACAGTATCTTACCAGTGAATGGAAGAAATATTATACCCAAAAATGTCGATTTCTTGTCATTGATCTCAGTTATAAAGTAACCGAAATAAATTACAACAGACTTTACAACAGAGATTGCCTCAACAAAACGTAAATGACTCGATCACTTGTATGCCACGAAAGTCACTGCATGTCTGACGTCATTTCCTCAAAAGGAAAGATTGGCTGCATTCAGAAAACAGAACCGTAAGTATTTGCTGAGCGAAAATGGATCAGTGAACGCATTTAGAACATGCATATTCGCCGATCATAGTGTATTTAATAAATATTGGTTTCTCATATTACAAAATATAATTTTGCAACAATCAAATGAGCGTTTACTAAACAAAAATTGTTTTCTGCAAAATCTGAACAATTTCCGAACAGATTTGAGTAAATATAAACTTTTTTTAAAGTGAAAACACACAACACTAGTCGGTAAAGAAGAATCCATTCAGCGTATCAAACCAACACCACCTATATACAAGGCCTCTCCACTGAAGTCATGACGTCATCACTAGTAGGCCATTTGTCGTTCAGTCTTGTAATGTAAAACGCGAATTTTTGAACAGTGTAGTGCGTTTTAGTAATAATTTTTTGTTGTGGATAGTTGCTGAATGCCTGTATTATTGAGGTAAGTCATAATTTATTAATTTACCGAATTAT